GGTGGGAATGCAAGCTGGTGCAGCCACTCTGGAAAACAGTATGGAGGTTCCTCAAAATGTTGAAAATAGAGCTACCCTATGACCCAGCAATTGCACTACTGGGTATTTATCCCAAAGATACAAATGTAGTGATCCGAAGGAGTATGTGCACCCCAATGTTTATAGCAGCGATGTCCACAATAGCCAAACTATGGAAAGAGCCCAGATGTTCATTGACAGATGAATGGATAAAGAAGATATGGTATATATATATACATATATATATACATACACACACACACATATATATACATTCACACACACAATGGAATATCATGCAGCCATCAAAAATACGAAATCTTGCCATTTACAATGACATGGATGGAACTAGAGGGTATTATGCTAAGCTAAATAAGTCAATCAGAGAAAGACAAGCATCATATGATCTTGCTGATATGAGGAATTCTTAATCTCAGGAAAGAACCTGAGGGTTGCTGGAGTGTTGGGTGGTGGGAGGGATGGGGTGGCTGGGTGATAGACATTGGGGAGGGTATGTGCTATGTTGAGTGCTGTGAATTGTGTAAGACTGATGAATCACAGACCTGTACCTCTGAAATAAATAATACATTATATGTTAAAAAAAAAAGATAGGAAGGGAAAAATGAAGCGGGGCGGAATCGAAGGGGGAGATGAACCATGAGACACTGTGGACTCTGAGAAACAGACTAAGGGTTTTAGAGGGGAGGGGAGTGGGGGGGATGGGTTAGCCTGGTGATGGATATTAAGGAGCTCATGTATTGAATAGAGCACTGCATGTTATATGCAAACAATGGATCTTGGAACAATACATCAAAAACTAATGATATAATGAATGGTGACTAACATAACATAATAAATTTAAAAAGTGAAAGAAAAAAGTATAAAAGGTAAGTAGAGTGATTGGCTTTAGGTAAAGAAGGGAAACTCAAATATAAGAGAAGGGAATGAGACGGGCACACACAGATAAGAATTTGGACATAGAAAGTGGAAGAAATTCTAGTCTGATAATTGCACTTTCATTGGTGGAGTAGAAAATGTCATCTGTTTATAGCTGCAGAAGGAAGATGGGTTAATGCTTTGAAAGCTCTGGAAAAAGTTTAAAATAGTTCCTGTGGGGAGTCAGGGTTCAAGGAGAAAACAGCTAAATATGGCAGGATGCTGGGTTCCTTTGCAGCTGTTGATAATTGCTTTAGTTGGGTTCCCCAGGAGTGGATCTGGAGACAAAGATTTAGGTGCAAGTAGTTTATTGGGAGAAGTGATCCCAGGAAGTAAAGTGGGGGAGTGAGGTTAGGAAAAGAAGGCAGCCAATAAAGGATGATACTGGGTTATTGCTGGAGGCAACTGGAGTTGAACCTGTCTGGGAACCCCCTGAGGTTCTGTGTGTAGCTTTCATCATGATGGTCATACTGAAAGGCAGGGGAGCTGGGATATTGATCTAGCTCTCTCTTGTTAAGGGTCACTCTGGTGGGATTAATATCTCAGCACTTCTGGCCTCCCCTGTGCACTGGCAAGTGAATGCCTAAAGGCAGAGAGACCCAGTGATATCTGCATTGTACCAAAGGAAAAGTAAAAATGCTTTTCTTAAAGATTTCTAATGGAAAACCTGCACTGAATTTTGTAGGTGGCTGAGTGAACAGAGTCAAAGATTTGATTTGGTGAGTTAACATCAAAGAGAGAAAGAGAGGTGTTTAGAAGCATGCAATAGGACTCCATTTCAACATCACCATTATGAATGAAGAAATAGGAAACCCGGTAACTAAACTTACAGGAGAAAACAAATGTAGGGAACAATCACCATGATAAAATGAAAATCCATAGATATTTACAGTCCAAATGCAAATAAAAGTTTTGACATTCAGTGACATGGAATTGGAGTCCAAGTCTCTGAATTCAGACCTCTGTTCCTTCACTTTCTTGTTGAGTACACTTCACTCAGTAAATATTTGTCCCTGTGAACTAGGCCCTATTTGAGGTAAAGGATATAATGGTAAACAAGATGAATTAAGTTCCTTCTCCATGGTACTAACAGTCTGAGATCAATTCACTTAATTTCTTTGAACTTCCTTCTCCTTACACGAGCAGAGAGATTAATAATAACTCACCATAGGCTTTTTTAAGAACACAAAAAGAGAATATGTTTTTGGAAGTGTTTCATGTTCTATGAAGGTCTGTATCAGTTTAATTTTAAAACAGTAGCTTGCAACTAACATGCAAAACTTTATCAGGTTTATATGACTGAAAGCCCTGAAGTAAGAGTTCGGGAAATCACCTCCTGGGGCCCCTGGGTGGCTCAGTCTGTTAAGCGTCTGACTCTTGATCTTGGCTCTGGTCATGATCTCTGGGTTGTGAGATCGAGCCCTGCACTGGGCAACACACTGGGTGTGGAGCCTGCTTAAGATTCTCTCTCTCCCTCTCCCTCTGCCCTGCACCCTCTCTCTCAAAAAAAGAAAAAAAAAAAAGAAGGAAATCAGCTCCTAAGTTTGTGGTTGTGGAGAACTGGCTTAGTGATAGTTAATGTGAAAAATTCTGAGATGTCTAGCTCAGTTTAACTTCAATGGGAGTTAAAGGTCTAATATGGAAGTCAAAACATTGATCAAGCTTGTAGGCTGCATTTCCAAGAAGATAGTTTTCTATTCCTTCCTGATTGTACTAAACACTACTGACATGGTCTCTTTAGGAGCCAAATTTTAAACAAGATACTGACAAGCCAAGGCATTAGCCATGGAAGTAACTAGGAATAAGGTAGGGTACCCTCAGATATTTTCCAGTGTTTTTAAAGAATTGATTTCAACTATGTGAGGGTTGTCTTGGATAAGAAGATGTAGCATGGTGATAAAAGTACATTACTTGGTGTCTTAAATTTTATATCTGTACTTTTGTCCTATTTCACAAGCCACCTATAAAAACTGAATAAATATTTTTCTGGGGACTTTGTTGACTATTGTTTTAATAAACTTGGATTAGATGATTTCTAAATCCTCTTTTCATAGATTCTTTACAGGTGCTGATAAAATCTAGGGGTTCTTTCTCAAGACAAATGCACACACAATTTAGAATTGTGCCTGGAATTTCAAGTGATGTACAGACCTCCTCCTCCCTTGCAACCTATGACTCTCCTCCAATCTCTGCTTTACCTCAATCTGAATGACCTGATCGAACAGTTAACTCCCATTGGCTCCATAGGTCTCCACAATAAAAGAATGAGAATATCAGGGTATATGATTGGATATTTATTGCAGCATAACCACACACTGCAAATTTAGTGGCTTAAGACAGAAGGAATTTATTTTTTCTCAGGGTTCTGCAATGTGGGCAGGGCTCTCTGGGTAGTTCTGAGGCTCTAAGTGAAATCAGCTGGAGAATTCATTTGGCTATATTCAGCTGGTGTTTGAGATGGGTCAAAAGGTGAAAGAAAGCTTTCTTCACGTGCGTGGTGCCTCATTCGCTTCCACATTGTCCCTCCAGCTGGCTATATCAAGCTTCCCTTAAAGGGCCATTGGAATTCTTAGCTAACAGTTGCATTCTCAGTGCATGTTCTAAGAGGACAAGATCCACAGTACAAGCACTTATGAAGCCTCTGCTTGCCTTACGCTTCCTAATATCCTGTTTGCCATAGCAAGTTACCAAATTCAGAGTCGGTGGTATTGTTGGAGAGTACACAAGGGCATGGATCTCCAAGGTATGGTTCAATGGGAGCTACTGACAGGAATTTTATGTTTGCTATAAGTACTTTCCAGAAAGAAAGAGGGTTATCTTGGGGAGTAGTAATTTTTCAGCCAGTGCAAACATTCAAGCAGAAGCAGAGTGATAGCTTATAGGAGATACTCTAGGGAGGCGATTGCTACCTTGAGCTTAATAAAGTGACCTCCATGATCATAAGACTAGATCAAAGCTAACTCCAAATTTTGAGCCTACATAACTAGGGAAATGGTGGTGCTATTAACAGTAACAGGGGCATCAGGCAGGAGTCTCAGATTGGAAGGAGAATGGTAAATGTGGAGCGATTACTTTTTTTTTTTCATGTAGAAGAAAGAGATAATCAAGAAATAATGACCCTTATTTTTTCCTGTCTTAGGTTGGATGTCGATATAACTGAACTTCACAGTTGGATTACTCGTTCAGAAGCTGTGTTGCAGAGTCCTGAATTTGCAATCTATCGGAAGGAAGGCAACTTCTCAGACCTTAAAGAAAAAGTCAATGTAGGTTATGCATTATTTTTTATCTATTTTTCTAAGTTTTGCTGCTTGTAAACTCTGTGCTTTGTACTATCTGATTCTATCAATTGAAAAGATTAAAGCAATGTGGAATAATGCTTTTAAATATATCTTTAAAGTATATTTTACATATCCAGCAGAATCAGAGTTTAGCTTAGAGAAATTTTTCCTGGTTCTGCTGTGACTGAGCAGGGATGCTTTTCATAAACCTTCTTTAAATTTTATAATATTTAGCTGTAAATTAACAATTTTATAACTAACTCATATTGATTTTCCTTCATGTACTGTTCTGTCACCTCAGGGCTGGGACTTAGCAAGCTTGCAGAGTAGAATAGACCCTTAGAAATACTAAGGACCCTGTTTATGCTCTCACTATCATCAAAAAGTTATTTTTTATAATCATTAGTACTTGTAAGAGATTTGCATTGTCCAGATACTTATGTATTGCATTACCATAACTAAAAGATGTCCAGCCTTTTTCAATATTTATTTATAGTAAGATGTGATTTGCTTTTTATTACCTGCTGAGACATTATAGTTGTGTCTTTCACAATAGGGATTTTTATTAATTTAATAGGAGCTGCTTCATCTTCAAGGACATTATCAGGGCTTTGATATTTCAACTTCTACAGTTATAAAACATCCATTTTGAAATTGTGAGAGCATTTCTAATAGAGTGAATACTCTGTAGTGGGCAGGCTAAAGACACAAATATTTTGAATGTTAAATAATTTTAGCTATAGGAAGGCCACATGTGTGAATAACTCAGTTTCATGTTTCAAGCATTCAGTTTCCTACCAGATGAACTCTCTTAGATTTTTCCAAACAACACTGTCTTAGATACAAGCTAATACTTGCTCTGCAGTTGGAACATTGGGAGAGCAAGAAATGATTTTCTTCTAGGAGAAAATACTCTATTTTTTAGGCTGCTTGAGGTAGAGAGGAGATGGTTCCATCAACATATCTCAGAGTTAACGATTTATAAATTGGGAAGTTATTTTAAAAGCATTATTAGTTATATACAGTGTTCTGTCATTAGTATAATAGACAATTATAAATAATTTTAAGAAACGGGCACTATGATGATGTTTTAGTTTTAAAATTAAACTGAAGCATAATATATATAGTAGAAAATTAGCAAAGTGTGTTATTTCAAAGTGTACTCACTTGAAGTTGTGTTTTTTGTGATGATTGTGGAGGGAAGTTCTATTAAGTCGAAAACTGCTTAGAGAAGATGAAGTCAAATACATTTTAAAGTTCATGTGATGTATTTGACCAAAGTATGAGTCACCTTGGGCAGACATTTTATTAGCTAATTTAAATTTTTAAAAATTTATCCCAATAATCTACTTATCTGTTTGTCATCCTATTTCTGGATCTTAAAACAGCTCTGATCAAGCAGGAAAATTGAGTACCAGAATCTCAAGAATATAAATTCAAAAATTTCCTGTTATCATATGGTTACCTAGAAGCAATTTGCATTTAATCAATAGCGTCAGCAATGACAGACTGAAAGTGCTAAAAAGATGTACAATATTGTATGAGTGGTTTTCTGATGCCTTGTGAGTCACCTTTATCAACTTCTCTCATTTTCTGAAATAACATTCTTAATTGCCTACTAAAATAGGACATGGAATGATTTACCTAGACATTTCCTTCAGGCTAAATATAATATATATGTATTAATCCTTGAGAGAAATACATAGTAATGATGATGGATATGCAGTTTAGGCGTACATTAATTTCCTTCTTCACCTGTCAGTATATGTAACTTATTTTGAACACACAGGAGGCCTGTCTCATGAACTTGAGTGGTACTTGTTTTTAGGCATTAAAAGTGGCTAAATATTACCCTCTTTTTTTTTCTTTCATTCAACTCCTTCATTCATCTATTACTTTCAAGTATTTCCAGCCAATTAGAATGTTGTAGAATATTATTACTTCAGTTTTATATATTTTTAAAACTAACAATTTTTCTTTCTCTATTAGTCATGTGTTTTATCTATATAATTAACATAATGCACTTACTTAAAAGTTGAATTCCAGGGGACATTTCTACTCCAAGTGGTTCCTGGACAACCAATATTGGCATCATCTGTGAACTTATTAGAAACGTGTGAGTTCAGACCTAATGAATCAATTTGCAGTTGAACAAGATCCACAGGTGATTGGTTTGTACATAAAGGTTTGAGAATCAGCACTCTAAGGAACCATCTGAGACTTCACCAAACTCCTAGATCCTTTACTTATTCTGTTTATGTCACCACAGTTGAGAAATTCAAGTGGAATTAACAGGTGTAGCTACTCAACTTCTTGAATTGAGCACATGGTAATGTAAGGTAGTAATTAAAACAACAAAACAATCTAGTCTTACTGCAAGGTGGTTGTACACCTGTATAGTGTTAAGTCAACAGGCCTTGGGCTCTTTCTGGAGCTCATGCTTGCTCGCACTCATACCGAATCAACTTTTAACAAAGTTCTGTTGAAAATCCTGAAGCCAATTAATTCTACATTTCTTTTAGGTCTATTATCTGGGTTTGCCACCCACAATATAGGTATCTCTATTCATCTGTGTTTTCTTGAATCTCCATCTCTCTGCCCTTCTTCGGCCTTGCTTCTTGGGACCTTCCCACACATACTCTCTGTGCATTCTGAAGTCCTTCTTCCAAAGCAAACTTTCTGTCCTATGTACTCATTCTTACTTGTTCTAGTACTACATGGAAACCACTTTTACCCTCAAGAACACCACTAAGACTAGGGACTCCTTAACTCCCCCCACTCATTTATTTATTTATTTATTATTATGTTTAGTTAGCCAGCATATAGTACATCATTAGTTTTTGATGTAGTGTTCAATGATTCCTTAGTTGCGTATATCCCCCACTCATTTAGAATTGCTAGTTTCCTCACTTCCCAGGACCAATTCCGAGGGTACTTCTTTCTGTGTAAAAATATCTCATCCCTTGGCCATCCTGCTGGCCATCTGTTACTCACCATTTTGTGATAATATTTTCTCATTGAAGACTGGTACCAGGATCATATTCTTCTCCACCCACGTTATGCCTTCATTAAAAATCTCAGGCCATATTGGTTGTCCTGCTATCTCCAAAAGTTTCCGTTTCCCTAATCTGCTCAGTTCAGCTACCTCCTTGCATTACTAGACTGTAGATGTTTGACTGCCAGACATTATTCTGTTTCAGAAATACTCTACTTACACAGATGCTTTGGTACTTCTTCATAGGCTTTCCATGCATTCCTAGTAAGTTTCCTCTCTCTTTCTCTCGACAATTATTTCAAGTTTTTAATGGGCATGGCAGATGACTTTCCCTCTTAGTTTATTTAAGATAATATCTAACAAATTATGTGTATTTGTGCTCATATTCTCTTTTCCCCCTCTGCCTTGGTGGAAGAGACTGTGCTTTGGCTGGTTAAGGCTAATCTGTGTATCTGAATGTGTGTGTGTGTGTGTGTGTGTGTGTGTGTGTGTGTGAGTTCTCAATATTTTCACTGTCTATGTCATAAGGAATCTGCTTCCATTCAGCCACACATCCATATCTTCAATAAAACCTTCCTCTCCTTTAAACACATAGGAATAGTTTTGTGTCTAGTTAACTTCTCTGCAGGACTACACTCTATTAGCCTCTTTATCCTTCATGAAATTCTTTCCTCCCTGGATTTATGGGATACTATTATCTATTGGTTACTTTTGTACATTTCTGGTCATTTGTTCTATCTCCTTTTTCCTTTATTATTGATATTCTACACAGTTCCTCCCTTGTTTTTTGTTCCTTGGATTATCCTCATTCCTTCCTATTCAAATAACATCTATTTTCTAATGCCTCCCAAATAAATATCCTTAGCTTATGTCTCTCCCTTGAAGCCCAAGCCAGTTTATTTAATTGCTTAATAGACAACTTTAATTGGATATTTGCCTGAAAACTTAAATCTTATGCTCTCCCCAGCCCTCCTTTATTCTCTTTCCTTTCTTTCTTCTGACAGCCTAATCCAGAAATCTAAAAGCTAACTGGGTCATCTAGATTTTTTTTTCCTACCATTTGCAAGTCCACCCTAGTTCAATTAATTTCATTCCCTTAACCACTCTTGAAAGTGTCCAGTTCTTTCTATTCCTAACACTACAACCCTGATTAAAGCTAATACCATGGGTTACCTCTGTTTAAGAAGACAATCCCTAGCCAGTCTTCCCTGCCACTAATACTGTATTCCTTTAGAGTTTTCACATCACTTTTGTCAGAGTGAACTTACTAAAACATAAATATTATCCTATTATGCCTCTGTTGATATTCATTTGAAAAAGCAAAAAGAAGCCACTGATAATCAGGAGCTGGCTGGGCACTTCAGTTAGTCCTTGGAGATGCTCAATGTTGACGTTGACTAGTGCTCACAGCTAGCCTGCTGAATATGTGCAACAGCTCAGAATACCAACAACAGACAAGGCCACTTCATGATTGTGATGGATCAAGACCAAAATGTGACCATCTCGTAATCATATTTCAACAGACCAAAAAATGGGTGCAAACCACCCCAAATGACTGCATATCCCCCATCTTCACTAATGTGACAAATGATGCTGCCTTACCAGTCTCGGTTTTAGCCTCTCTACCTTGTTCCTGCCATCTAGATAAAAATTTTTAAGATGCGCAGTCACAGAAGTAACTCCATTTACTTAGGACATCTAATTAAAGGCAAAGCCCTGTTTCCTTGACCACTCTCCTCACCTTACATGTGCCCAAATCCAATCCACTCTTTCTAACCATCCTCTTAGAGACCTACCCCATAGTTCGCTATTATGTGCCACCTCTCCTGCTGCAACAACTAGATCAGCTTAACTTTGTTTATATAGGCATGTTCCTGGTGGCCGTTGGCGGGAAGGTGTTGACAGAGTCAGTAATTTCATGTTGCCTTTGTGAAGGCTACCATAACCTAATTTCTTTTACCTTATCCATATTGATTTCTTGCCATTCTAA